GTTGACTCAGGAAATAACCATATAAAGATATGATCGGAACCAGCAGTTAGCGTAATGGCTATGTCGCTGGACTCCCACGTAGTCGACCGTGGTTTGCGTCCTGGACCCGGTGGCTTAAAACTCACGCTGGGCGCGTGTGTGTGCGTGCCCAAGATCCCGAGAGGAGAATGGAGGAGAAGGGATTGCGGCGTGACCATCCCCCCTGGGGGGTGATTTCTCGCTTTCTATCTCTCTGTCTCTCTCTCTCTGTCTGGCGAGCGCACGCACCCTATAGTGAAAACCTCTCCAAAAAAAAGATATGATCTAGGAGAAAGAAGTTCTCTAGAACTTTATAGTATATGGACCATATATATTTTTAAGGCATATAGATTACTTAGTAAAAATATTAATCTACACCTTCACTGGGTTGAAATTGAATGTGTTTGCAGTTACCCCTTACTTCATTTCCTCAAGAACTGGAAAATGCCTCTACGCCTTCTGGGACTTTTGATGCATTGTAAGAAAGCTTACGAGAACCCTTCTCTGCATCTGGTATCTTATCAACATATTGAGGGATAGACTGTAGATAGATTTTTATTCCTCGTGCAAACCAGGTTTGCACGAGGAATAAAAATTAACCTGAAATTAATATTTTATCAACATATTGAGGGATAGACTGCACGAGGAATAAAAATTAACCTGAAATTAATTTGTTGAAATGTTCTAACGTGAAAAGGACATATGTCAAAAGGTTATGTAGCTTTATGTGCAGACATGCTACATTATCGCCCAACTGCAGTGGCCAACATGGTGATTGGAGTTACAATAGTCACCTTTGAATAAATTGTAAAATGACTGACTCCTCTTCTATCTCTCTCTATTTTTTTCTTATTTCATTATGAAAAAGACAATCAACAGCAAATCTGAATTTATCTGAATGTCAGGCATAGGTCACCAGGAAAAAATAAGGTCAAGGATCATTCTCTACTTGTCGATGCTCATTCATGCACAACTGTAAGGATATATTCTCTCTTGAGAGGAAACAGTGTGGGTGAGTACACACATTGACATGGGAACTTCTTGTTCACATCAAAATGAGTAAGTCAAATAGGCATGTTAATGTATTCATAGAGATATGTCAATGTTACTGTTCAAGAGAGGGTGATTCAGTACTTCTGCAAAAATTCTTTTGCCCAACTTTTTCAGTGTATCTTTGAAAAGCTGTCATGCTCTATAAAAAGTGCAAAAATAGATTTTTATAATCCTGATAATGGACTGAATCTTGAGCCTCAAGGTCATAGGCTTGATCTTTAAGGAGTGTGAAGTGAGTTCTGCCTAGGCCAGAATCGTATCTGTCTTCTTCCTGTGTCATTAGCCCTAATCTGGTGCCACCTAAAATAAACTGGATACTCCATAAGCATTTCTGATGAAATAATCAGTTAATGAACTCTACTATTCACCTAAGTTATAGCCTCTCTAATTGTTCACCATATAGATTTTATGCACTTAGATTTTGATTGTGACTTCATTTTTCCAGCTAAACTAAAAACCTGCCGAGATCCCTCTTAAAGGGGCCTTACCAATCATATAAATCTTAACTGCCTCCTCCTTTGGGAGTTGAACCCTATCTACTATATATCCTTCCTAATAAATAGATTATTTATATTTGAGATGTTCAACTTGACCTTAAATATTGTTCACAATCTACACCTGTTGTGCTTCACGAACAAAATTTTGAACTTACTGGATGAGGAATGTACCATTTTGGTTTTAAGAAATGTAAAGAACTAGAAATCTACGCACTTTTTATGCCTGCAGTTTTCATGGGTAAGTAGGTTAAAGTACCATCAATGTTTACTAGATATTTCTCCACCTAGGGACACCTTTCCACTATGTTTGGGCAATGACTCTAGATATAAGGTAGTTCTTCCTGCCTGGCTATAGAATGTGTTGCTTTGAAAACGTAGTACTGTGAGGTTACAAATAATTTCTTTTTAATTTTCTTTCTTCAGAACTTTGTGTAGTCCTTGGAAGGTGCCCAGATAGGTCCCTGAAAAACTGTATAAATTCAACTTTTGGGGAATGAAATTGATTTTAAATGCTAGTTATGAAGGGACTTCTCTGTGAACTCTTATATGGGAAAAATAATTACTTGTTCACTTTTTATTTGGGCAAATATTGATTTTCATATAGCTGATTTGATTTCTCTATGTATATCTATCTGAAAAATTGAACCGAGGCTGTACCAAGTCACCTCCATAACACTAATGCTGTGTGTGAACATTTAATTTAAAGTACAAAATAAACAAGCAAACACAACACTTAGAGCAAGCTATAACTCTGTTAATTAACCCTTATATTTAACTTTCAAATATAATAGAGAGAGATTGTTAAGTCCTGCTATTACAATGACTTTGAGGATGAACTTCTGTTTAGCATAAGAGCAATGAACAGAGGCTAGCAAGGGCAGTGGATTGGCAGCTCTGATCAGCACTTTGGAGGTCGATCAATCAAATGAGTTGATTTTGGTAAATCAGTTAGCTTCCTTGGGCCTCAGTATTCTCATTGAGAAAATGGCAGTAAAATATCTTCATGTTTCCCAGAGTTTATCAGTGCTAAATTAGAGATGATATGTGCAGGAACTTTATGAGGCACAAAGTGCTTTACAAACCTAAGTTTTCATAGTAATTCTAATTAAGTGTGTGGTGCTTTCAAAATTTCTTCCAGCAAGTTTGCGTGATAATTTTATTCTTTGAAGCTTTGCCAACTTCTCTTGGAAGCATCCTCAGCACTGATGAGTCATTGAGAAAACTGTTGATGTTATTCTATTCTTAATAAAAATAATAACAGCACTCACAGAACCCATAACATATTCATATTCATGGGGCTCAGAACAAATTAGAACGTAGATCCCAATGGGAGCTACCTCTAGGCAATATTTACTGCCAATTCTCTTCTTCTTTTCTTTAAAATTTTTTTCTTGGGACCAGCAGTTAGCATAATGGCTATGTCACTGGACTCCCATGTAGTTAACCATGGTTCGAATCCTGGACCTAATGGCTTAAACTCATGCTGGGCTCATGTGCGTGTGTGCCCAAGATCCCGAGAGAATGGAAGAGAAGGGATTGTAGCATGTCCATCCCCCCTGGGGCGTGATTTCTCGCCTTCTGTGTCTCTGTCTCTCTTTCTGGTGAACACACGCGCCCTATAGCGAAAACCTCTCCTAAAAAAAAAAATGAGGGAAAAAAAAAGATGGAGAGAGGGGTATGCAGAGAGAGAGGAGTACACTCCACAGGGTTTGAGTACACTCCACAGGGTTTGGTCATAATTTGGGGCACTTGCACATTTGCCTGGCATGTTTCAAGTGGACTTGGCCAGGGACACAAACCAATCACAGTCATGTGGAATCCATCTTCTCTTGAGCAGAACATCACCACTACACTACAAACGTGACCTTTTTTCTCTCTTATTATACTTTTCCTTTTCGTCCAAGTGTTTCTGTATTCTTTTTCTTCATATTCGTGGCTGGAATTCTATCCAAGCATACTTGTTATGATAAAATATGCTTTTGTCATTTTTATGAAACTGTCTTGCATTCAAAATATACCATGCCACATTTTGAAAAGAGTCTGAGTAACTACTTTCATAACCTAATAAATGGCAATATATTAATGTAAGAAATTCCTGCTATTGAGTGGAACTGAATAAGGTATTAATGGGATATTTTGACTTCATGTCAACATGTCTTAATAACATTCTGTAATAGTTACAACCCGTGGAACTTTTCCTCAGAGGTAAGAAGTGGAAGTTCACAGTTTTGGCTAGCAGACTTTTATATAACTTAACATCTAGGTTAAAACATGATTAGTTGCCAACATTAGAAATATAAAGACATCTTATAAAATTGCAACTTTCTGATTTCTCTTGACATACCAGAACATGTAGCAACACTGATCCCACCATAGCAACAACAGCAGCAGCTAAGAAACAGCTGGTTCCTTTAGAAAGACAAGTCTTGGGAACCAGCAGTTAGTGTAATGACTATGTCGCTGGACTCCCACGTAGTTGACCATGGTTCGCATCCCGGACTCACGCCGGGTGCGGGTGCGTGCGTGCCCAAGATCCCGAGAGGAAAATGGAGGAGAAGGGATTGCAGCATGACCATCCCCCCTGGGGGGTGATTTCTCGCTTTCTGTCTCTATGTCTCTCTCTGTCTATCTGTCTGGTGAGCGTACGCGCTCTATAGAGAAAATACCTCTCCAAAAAAAAGAAAAACAACAAAAAAAAAGAAAGACAAGTCGTGCTCAGTGTACGAGGGTCCCTTTGGTTTCACTTCATTTATTTATGTCATCTGTCCGGCCCCTGTCGGATCTGAATTTGTCACCCTTGTTGAACCCACAGGAATAACTAATTAAATTCTATCTCATAACCAGTTAGTCATGGATGAAATCATAGACAGATGGTTTAAGGTGAACATATGTTGTTGATCTGTTTCTCTTATTTCATTAACCACTTTGCCAGCATTTTAAACAGTCTAATCATATGTCACAAACCATAACTGGAGCAGCAGTTTATTAGGAGATAATCTAGCATTTCATGAAACTGTTTATTTTTAAATAGTTCCAAGTGAAAGCTGCTTTGAGGTTTGATCTGCAGTTCAAAGTAGAATTTTATCAACTCAGTAAATGTGAGTTCCAGGCATGTTCCAAACTCTATGCCTAATACTCCTGTGATGTCAGAGTACTAAAAAGGGCATTTCTGGTATGAGGTTTTTGTATTTTATTTTTATAGGTTTTTGCTATAAGGAATATGCACTCACCAGAAAGACAGAGAGACAGAGAGACAGAAAGTAAGAAGTCACCCCCAGGGGGAATGATCACACTGCAATCCCTTCTCCTTCATAATCCTCTTGGGATCTTGGGCTCACACACACACATGCCCAGTGTGAGTTTAAGCCACTGAGTCCAGGACTTGAACCATGAACCACTGTTGACTACATAGAAGTCCAGCGACATAGCCATATGGCAACTGCTGGTACTGGTATGAGTTTTTATACAACATAATTATAAAGAGAGTAAAGAGTAAAGGGCTTCCTGTGAAATTTCAAATAGTCTATCAAGGGAAAGGACAAGAGGGCTTAGAGACTTGATAATGTTAGAACCTTGAAGTTCTTTGAGTTCTCCAAGGACCTCATGCCCCATTTCCCATGCCTAAGGGGAAGAAAGATGATGTGGGTAAACCTAAGACAAAGAAAAATGGAAAATGTTATAGCAGGGGAAAATTTCATAAGCAGACTATAAATAATACTGTTGGAAATTAAATTTCCCTTTCTTTCCAATTTCTAGAATTCCTGTTTCCTTAAATCAGATTAATATATCCAGGGGCTTGAGATTAAGGTGTGTATCCACAGAAAGAGGTCCACATAAGGGTATACTTGCTATGGTACACATAAGGGTATACTTGCTATGGTGTTTGGTCCACATAAGGGTATACTTGCTATGGTGTTTTTGAGGGTACACTTGGTATGGTACCCTTGAGACTGTAGGTCAGAAGCACCAAAGGGTCTTTATGATTCTACCTCATATGTAACATGACATTAAGCCAGAAATTTCTCATATTGAGGTTTGAGGTTAAAACATTTCTATGTCTGTGAAAACATGGGTATCTTACAAGTATGACCATGGCTATAGTAGGTGAAAGAATTGGTCATCATGGATTCTAAAATAGATAATGTCTTGGCATTATTCACAGAAGGCCCTCCTCTATGTCTGGCTTTGGGCAAATTCAAGTTAGGCCAATCATCAACCAACTTGATTATCACCAAATGACTGTCCAATTATCTACTTGGCTACAAAAAAAAATGGGTTAGATTTCTAGGGAGAGGTGGCACAGCACATTTCAAGAGAATATTTTATTTGTGACATAGACAACTAGCTTCTGCACAATTATTAATTTAATCAAACTCTTTGGTGGGACCCATATAATCTGGTGAGCTATTGACTCAATGACATGCCATGTATAAAAATGTCAAAATCAACACAGAAGAGCATGGGGATGGAGACTGCGAATCTCATTTTAGCATTTCCTTCTTGGCTTGAGCCAGAATAAATTTAGTGTAATGAGAAAGAAAAAGACGAATAAAAGTAATTGTAATGGTAATCACAGGGAAATAAAAAATGTGTAGCATGTGGAAAGTTACTTTTTCTTCTTGACAAACTCACAGACGAAGTACATGGTAAGATGGCACTCTGTGTCATTCCATCTGCCTGAGCTCAGCATTTCCACGCAGTCCTCATGACCGTAGGGGTCACTGGGCTCCCCGTTGTTCCAGTTGCTATAGTTCTGCAGTGGCGTATTGTCTGTGAACACGTACTGCCCCTCCCTTTCCAGGTCATTCACCCCAATAAACACCCGGAAGAAGCCACTCTTGGCAACATAGTCAGCAATAAGCGTGTTGGCAGCTTCGTCCTTAGGCATGGCTAGCATTCCACCCCGAATCCTGCAGTGGGTCAGGGACTCCCTGTAGTTCTTTTCCTCCTGCACAATGTAGTAGAATTTCTCTTCAGTTTCCCTAATTCCTGCTATGACTTTTCAGGAAGAAAAAGAAGAGTATCATTATGTGCCATAAAAAGAAAAAAAAAAGCAAGTACATAATATTGGCATATATAAATTTATGTATCCAACAAGTCAAGAATTACTTTGCAAGGCCTTTTTATGAGATAGTCACTAGTTTAAATATTTCTCCTCCATCTGGATATCGAATGGGAACACACTTCTACACTTTGGCTCAGCTTTCTACATAGCTGTCCAGCAGATAGCCATATCGACCAAGACTTGCTACATGAACTGTGATTCAGTGCATCTCAGACTGTCTCCCAATCTAGTTTAAGCTTTAGCCATACTTGTAATCTGATGAAGTCTTTTATCTACTTCCGAGTCTTTCATACCTAGAATGCATCTACACATAGCAAACTCCTACTGATCCTCTAGGACTTGGTGTAACATTTTCTCCTATAAGAAGTCTCCCAGATACCTATGGACAGACATGGGGGCTCTTGCAAAATCTCTGTTTCTGTTGCTCCTTCCACTTCTTCCCTGATAATACTCAGTCTCCTTCCACCATCTTGGCCATGCACATACACATGCTCAGAATGATTTTCAAGCCACCTGTTCTGGGACTCGAACCACAGTCGACCATGTGGGAGTCCAGTTATGTAACTGCTACAGCATTTGCTATCCACACAATAATTACCTTTTTTGAGAGATCATTAAACTGGTGACAGTATCTCAATAGGCTTTGCCCAACACAAGGTATTTCCTACTGGGAGCCCTAGAATTGAATTCTGAGACTAAATTGGGGCCAGCAGGTGGCATGGTGGTTAAAGTACTGGATTTCCATAAGGCCAACCATGCATGGAGTCCCAGACCTGGTGGCTTGAAAATCATGCTAGGCACATGTGCTTGCATGCTCAAAATCCCAAGAAGAAATGGGGAAAGAAGGGACTCTGGCATGACCATCCCCTCTGGGATGTGTGGTGTGTGTGTGTGTGTGATTTATCTCTTTCCTTCTTTCTGTCTTTCTCTCTCTCTCTGGTGAGTACCCTATGGAAAAAACCCTTAAAAATAGAGGGAGAGAGAGAGAGAGAGAGAGAAGAGAGAACACTAGATTAAACTGATAGATGATATAACACAAAGCAAAAGAGGATATGTTCACCATTCTTGACGAACTTCATAGATGTCTTAAGCCGAGCAACACTAATATCCAGTTGTCCTACAACTTTCCTGTATCTTCCACAATCACAGACGGTACCTTTTAAATGAGAAAACTGAATTTATGTTGAGGCACATGGAGACCAATTGGTAAGAACATTTGTTCTCTTCTTAGTATGTACTCTCTGTTTCTAGTCTGGCTGTATCTCTGTGAAGCTATATATTTAATCTTTTACTTAAATCAAAAGTTCTAATTTATGTTTCATTAGGAATTTAGAAAACATCTTTTCAAATGTTTTGAATGAGTTTGATGATAATAGTAAGCTAGATTTTTAAAAAGAAGAATAAATATGACAAACCACTGTGCACACTATGTGAACCATTTGGCGTATTTGTTGAACACTGAGCATGTCTGTCTAATCTCAGAATGAAATTTTTATAGTTTCCCGAAAACATACTTCCAGCCTGTCCTCTCTTCTGTTACTGCATTATTCACTAGCTCACACAGCTCTTCCAAGACAGGGGAAACTTGTCATGATTAAAACAAATGCTAATTTTGATTATCCATTTGAGGTATAGCTTGCATGTTTAAAGGACTAAGTTTAAATCTGTAAATAGATCCAACTTGCAGATTTTAGAGACTATTGTCCAGTATGCAGATGAACTGTGATTTAATCTGTCATTCATTCTTCTTTGTTCACCTACCTTTTCAACTACCTACTGACCCTGACCGTTGTGACAGAGAAGAAACTATGAGGAAAATAGTGGAAAATTCAAATGATTCCTTTTCTGTTCATCGACTGTTCCATGTAAACTTTTCTGTTTGCTTTTTTCTTTGGTAGTGTGAAAAGTAAAAATAATTTATCTAGAACTTTACTTACTATAGTCACAGTTAAATATAAAGAATGTAAAGTGGTTCTTAGAACTAATCTTTACTCTGGGTCTAGGAGGATGAGGCCTAGTTCCTCATATGTTGAGTTTGCTTCTCACAGTAAACATGACTGGGGGGAAGGTGCCATCCCTATGTGCCCAGGGCTTAGATAGTCACCAGAGGGTAAGAGGAAAGTTTCCTTCTTTCTTTTCCTCTAACCTATAGAAAGTAAGGTTAAATGATGAAAGAATTCTTGTTGTTCCTTCAAAATATATTTAGTTTTGAGATGAAACCATTCGGAATGATGTTAGAAGTCGAAGAGAAAAATGTGTATGTCCTACATACCTGCTTTCCCTTTTCCTCCAGGTATCCCAAGCAAACCTTTCTCCCCTTTTTCACCTGAATTAAAACAGCAACCAGAAAACAGAAACAATGAAGTGAAAGGGTGAATTATTTCACACCAATCAAAGAAACAGTTTTAAAATTTTTATTTATAAAACCCTCAATAAATACTCTTCGGTTTTACATAAACAGTTTGATTTTAAGTCAGCTGCACAGCTACAAGAAATCAATTGAGTTGTAATTTATGTAGATTAATATAGAATTCCAACAAAAAGTGTACAAACATTGGAATGCGTGTGACCTACCCCATTAACATGTTCTCTGTAATATGGGATTCTGAACAAGCAAAAAAAACCCAAACTATTGTTTTGCAAGTTTGCATCAATTGGATAGCACATTGCAGTAGCTGTGTATTTGTTATGTCCCAAGTTAATATTGCTTTGCCTTTGTAGTTTCAAAAAGAAAGAAGTGTGCTTTTTCAATTTAATTCAACAAATATTTACCATTTCCTTATTCTATGTGAGTCAAAGGGCTAGATACGTTGTGAGAGTATATAGAGAAACAATATTAAACCTCTGACTTGAAGGAATTTACAATTCTTTTTTTTTGGAGAGGTTTTTGCTATAGGGCGCATGCGCTTGCCAGAAAGACAGAGAGAGACAGAGAGATAGAAAGCAAGAAATCTCTCCCCAGGGAGGATGGCCACGCTGCAATCTCTTCTCCTCCATTCTCTTCTCAGGACCTTGCACCTGCACACATATACACCCGGCATGAGTTTAAGCTACCGAGTCTGGGACATGAATCCCGATTAACTACATGGGAGTCCAGTGACATAGTCATTATGCCAACTGCTGGTCCCAGGAGTTTACAGTTTTTATAAGAGTTGTAATGTATGAAAATATCTACAATATGAAATCATGTCAAATATATTATACAGAGATAACAACCTTGTCATTTTTTCTTCTTGTTTTTTGTATGTGACCATTTTCTTATTCAATCAGAGGCGTCTCTAAAATAATTCTTAGAGAATCATTATTTTTAAAATGTGAAAACTTGATTTTTTTAACTTCAAAATAAGCTTTTGAAGCCCACATCAGACACAGTAATTGAAAGCAAAAGCTTTTGATTTGCAAAAGGAAATGTTTGGTTAAGGTTCTTGAGATTCAAAAGAGAAGACCCTGACAGAAGTAAATAGAGTTTATGCTTCAGTGGTGATCTGGGAAAAGAATAAGAAAAAAAAACTCATGTGGGATGAATACAGGATGAAGGTCAACCAAGTTAGCAGGAATATGGAGTTTATCCTCATAGGGGTCTGATAACAGCAAGGAATTGATTATATGCCCCATGGAGACAATGCAAAGGGGAATGGAGTTGGCATTGAGATTCTTCTTAATTTCACTCTTCATGAGCAACAGCAAAAATGTGGAAACTACTTTAAAACGGATAGGATTTCCCATATTGTCTGCCCTGAGAATGCTTTCATTAGTTATTCTTATGATTGTCTGATGAGTATTTTCATTGAGAAGCCCTTATATATTGACAACTTATCATCCAGAAGAAAGAATGAATGTTGGACCCCAAGGATTTGCTGAGACTTTCAGAACTGACTATATGTACAGTTTTTTGTTTTGTTTTGTTTTTGTATTTTTTAAATCAGTAATGCCAGACATTCCTGTGCTCCACCCGCAAGACAGGAAAAGTTGATCCTTGAAATCCACAATGCAGGAGCCAGAGGTGCCACAGTGGTAACACAACTAGACTCACATGAGGAAGTCCCTGGTTCGTGTCCTGGTACTTCTCTGTAGATGCCAGCATATATATGCATGCATTTGATTAGCACTGACAGAAGTGAGGGGTAGATCATGATGTGGAGACACTGTTGGGAATGCCTTTCTCTCTTTACCTTTCTCTCTTTCTCAGAAGAAACAAATGAGCAAACCCAAAATTCCAAGACAGAAAGCAATTTAAGTATGCAGGAGAGACCCTTAAAACTTGGGCTTGGATGGAATGAAACTGGTGAAATCTGTGATGTATAATGTGATAAATATTGTAAGAGGGACAGTGAATAGAGATAACTTACTCTGAGGGGAAGCCTGATGAGATAGTGCTTCAGTTGGAAGGATGACAGAGGCATTGTTTTTGAGCTTGGCTATGAAAATCTGGAGATGCGACAAGGCAGAGGACAATGTGCAGTCAAGGATACAATTGGAAAAAGCATGGATATATATCAGGCACCTTGATAAGCAAGATTGATGTGTTCACACTTAGTCGTACTCTGCAAATTCCTTATTTCCATTACTTGTAAATTGGAAGACATAAGAATAGATATGGAGAATACGTTGATGGAATAAAGTGAAGATATCAGTTGCCAACTGCCATTCTGGATACTTTACATTTGTATTACCATATTATGTCTAATGAGCTGAGTGCTATCATTATCTTTATTCTCAAATGAAAAAAACATGAGAATCAAAGAGACAAAAAAATTGCTCAAGGAATACAGCAATTAACTGGCAGTGTTGGTACTCAAGTCCAACTGTTTGTCTCTCCAGTTGTTGGTGCTTCTAAATCGAGTTAATCAATAACTCAGTAAAGGAAAAATGATGTGTTTGGAAAATGTGACTAAAAGTTAAAAAGAATAGCAGTCTTTATTACCACCAAAAACAATATGGATGATATATATGGCAATATCCTTGACTTAATTAACATGCAATGCACGTATGCTTTGAAAAACCATATTGTAAGCTGTTAAGATATGCATGATTAAATGTAAAAAATTAAAAAGGGATAAAAAACAATATGGATTTAAAAGATCATATTAATATGACTTTAATATTTTAAGTTTAAAAAATAGTATTTCTTTTGCACATGAATCCCTTTCCATTCAACATGGATCAAATACTGATTCCAGCTCTACTATGATCCTAGTTCTGGGCTAAGCCTCATAATAAACATAAAAGAAGCAGAAACAGAGTATTTGTTTTGGGAAAGTGATGAGCTTTAAAGAATTCGAAGGACACATGAGAGACCAAAGTGATGGGACACTCACATGTGCTAACAGAGTGAAAGAAATGGAAAGGTGAGATGGTGGAGGGTCAGAGTAGAGAAGGATTCATTGAAGCAGTAGCCCTTGCTAGATCTTAAGAATGTGAGAAACTGCTTTTTGAATTGATGTCTGGCCTTTTCTGTGTGTTCATTTGTTTGTTTTGAGAAGATGTAAGCACTCAAAACATAAATTCCCTTGCTTTGATGACAAATGGGAACACCAAAGCAAGGAGACAGAGTAAAAGACTATGGAAACCAGAAAACCGGGCTTCAATTCCGTCTCTTCTTATTAGCTACATGTGAAGAGGTGACTTGATTTCTTTATTTCTTCATTTTAAAAGCAGAAATAACAGTACTTAAAATTGTAAAATAATTGAGACCAGCAGATGGTGTAATGGTTAAGTTGCTGAACTCCCATGTAATCAACTACAGTTTGAGCCCCAGATCCAGTGACCTAAAACTCATGCTGGGCATATGTGCGTGTGTGCCCAAGATTCCAAGAGGAGGATGGAGAAGGGATTGCTGTGTGTTCATCCATCCTGGGGAGTGATTACTTGCTTTCTGTCTCTCTGTCTCTCTAGCAAGTGCACGTGCCCTATAATAAAAATTTTTTCTAAAAAAAAATCATGAAATAATTAAGAAGGATTGATTAGACGGCATTACCTCATAATAGTACTAGCACTGGACTTGATTTATAGAGGATATTCCAACAACATTAGCTCATGCTCCCTAAATCTCAGTTATAGTAAAGGACTGCATACAAAGTAGTTAACCAGTTTGTAGAGGATTTGGACTCAGAATACATATTTTCCTAAAACAAATTATGGTTTAAAGCTATTCACAGAAACTTATTGTGGCCTATGAATGGGAACATGTCTGTTATAAGTGTCTTAAGGTTGAAAAATTAGAGGTCACATTCAAACAAACAAAATATCATAATGCTTTCAGTGTAAAGGGATTATTGACCTTAAGTCAAAACATTTATTTTGCTATGTGGTTGAATTTACCTACATTAAATCATTTTTATTTCTCATTTCTAAAGTGAAATATTGACATCCAGAAAGTTACCTTATCCATACAAGGGACAACATTAAGGTCAGTCTAGAATGTTGAGATTAATTTGAGTCACTGAAAAATTTAGAAGGGCCGTTATCAAAATGAGAACAATAAATTTCAAAGTGGAGATTAAAAATGAAATTAATCCAGGTGAACCAGAACACCGCATCTCCATTTTTTAAAAAATTCCAGAGCATGCTCATAAATTTTCATGGCATATCTCTGAAGGAGAAGGAAATCTTAGTAGCCAATAGTGGAAATTGATGTGAAGGGAAAGTGGCACTTATAGGAATAAGGAGTAGAAAAGAAGGAGTAGAAAATGATTTTTTCCCTGTTTAATGCAACAAACATTTAGAGTTCCAACTTTCTAGGCATTAAGATAAACATAATTAAACAGAAGGGTCCTCACACAAAGCTTATTCTTATTTAAGCAAACAAACCCAATAAGTAATCCATTCACAGGGCTGGCAGGTGGCATGGTGGTTAAGGGTGCTGGACTCCCACATGTCGACCGTGATTTGAGTTCCAGACCTGGCGGTTTGCTTTCTCACTTTCTCTCTCTCTCTCTGTCTCTCTTTGGTCAAATTAAAATAAATAAATGAATAAATAAATAAATAAAGTTAAATAATTCTTTTTAAAAAAATAGTTCACTCACTTGTTCCCCCTAGAAATTCACAGTCCATGGGGGGAAAAGACAAGCTAGTCGGCCCTGACAGTGAATACAGTCAAGAAGTATGTGCTAGATGCTATGTACCTGAGCTTTGAAGGCAGAATTGGCATGATAGAATAAGATTAGTCAACCTTATCATTTCTAGGCTGTTAACTTTTATAATGTTTCTTAGAGTTCATCCAGTCTGAGGCTCAGACAATCATATTAAATACTCTTGACTACTTCTTGTCTCTATCATCTCCCATTTGCCTAAATCATTTAGTCTTATTCCAAGAGTAAGACTGTTCTTGGCTCAAGATCATTA